CATCATAAGTAAGAAAAGAATGAAAAAGAAAATAATGTCATCAAACTAGAAGCAGGTAAGAGAAGAGAACGATCATCATCAAATTAAAAGCAAGTAAAAGATAATAAAGAGTCATCATCAAACTAGAATCAAGAAAGGGAATAGAAAATCATCATCACCAAATGAAAAAAGCAGGACAAAAACGATAAAAAATAATCACCATCATCATCAAACTGGAAGCAAGAAAGAGAAAGGAAAGACCAAAATAATCAAATTAAAAGCAAAAAAAAAAGGTAAAAAAAGAACGTGATCGAAGTAGAAATAAGAAAGAAAAGGAAATGAAGGCCAATGACATCATCAAACTAGATCCAAGAAAGAGAGAGAGCGAGAGAGAGAGAGAATAAAGAAAAACGACGTCATCAAACTAAAGATTAGAAAGAGAAGTCAAAGAAGTAATAAAGAATAAGAGAGTAGAACCATAAATCCTATTTGGTCTCTGTTCTTAATTTGAAGTCTCCTCACCACGAACACAAACCACTTCACTGTCCCAGCACCTGGACTTTAGTCTTTCAATCATCAGCTTCCACTTTCTTCTCTATCCTTTCTTTTATACCTTTAAACTCTTTCTTCTTCTTTTTTATTATTCGTTCTTTTTAGCTTCCAGGGGCATCAATCCAATCTTGTAATGACGGCAATGACGGGCTGAAGATGGTCATTGGCGACGATTGGAACCTTCTTAGAGACATTGTCGAGATTGATGCCTTTGATTACGATGGCGTCGTATTGAAAAAAGATTGCTTTGCGGAAAACCGCTCCTCATTTCGGGGGAGGTGAGTTGGGGGACGGAGAAACAGAAGAAGTTGCAGAGAAGCGGGTGCAATGACGATGAAGATCCACAGATAACGTACTTCCCATCATCTCCTACCCAGCGTGCAAGCATATACTTTGTCCTGACGAGACATACACACAGCAACAGCAATGACATGCATGCAGGCAACTCAACGAAGAATAATGGTTAACGAGCTAGTATCGCCAGACCAATACTACTGCACAGAGAGATGGATCCTCATTAGGGGCTCTTTAATACTGGTCCTATGCCAGAATAATCTTAAAAATCAATAACTTTGAAATTTATATTTACCATGCAGTGATGGCGACAATCTCTCTATCTATATATATATATATATATATATATATATATATATATATATATATATCATAGTTATATAATCAATTAATCTATCTATATAATGTATTTTTGTGCAATAATTTTTCACGACAAACTAGGAATATTTTATACAAAATTTTTATTGTCTGTCTATATTTCTGAGATGAGGTATTATGTAAATTATTTACATTATTAGGACTATTGTCCTCATCTTTGTCGCCATATTTATCCGGCCTTCTTCAGGTGGTTGAAATGTCGAACTGAACCCTTTATTTCGCTCACCGGGGTAGACTGTTCTAGTTCCACGTGCCATGTTTGATGGATGTCACTTATCAGTTATCTCTTGTTAATTTTCCCTCTGAAAGTTCTCCACTGCCTTAACCGGGTATTGAACTCACGCTCTTTGGGTCCTGTCACTGGATCTAACCAACGCTTTTATCCACTGTGCGTTGGTTAAAAATCCAAAGTTCTTTAGCATATTTGTTTTTATCTTTAAAAAACAGTGCTCGATACAACAGTAGAGCCTATATTATAATTAAAAATATTTTTAAAAATATGATTCCATCACTACATAAGAGTGAAATAGAAAGTTAAATTTAATTATTAAATTATTAATATTATTATTAATTAAATTATTTAATTTCTATAAATGAAATTGAAGTTTTTAGCTTCTGTTTGTGAAACATGAGAACTCTTATGTGGTGATGGAATCATATATATATATATATATATATATATATATACCGTATTTTCCAACTTACACAGAACACTTTCTTTCCTAAAATATACCCTGAAAAATACGTGTGTGCCTTTCAACGCGAATGTAAGGCAACACCCAGGCTCAAGTAAGCTTGGATAGTCACCTAATTGGCTTGACTGATAGAGACATGGATTTGTATTTTGAGTCATTATACTATAATGTTATCTATCTAATTCAGCCTTTTATATGATGTAGCCTCAGTACTTAGCTGTTACAAGTATTTCCAAGAATATAAACCTTCCTGGAGCTGAGCCATAAACTTAAACATGCTCTTTTTACGATCAATGACAGGAGCCTTTCTGCTTTTGACTAGTATGTCATTGCCATACAAACAAAATTGGACGAGTGATTAATGTAAACAATACATTGCAGCAGTATGTGAGGGTCATATGGAGAATATGTTGTTGCATGAGAATGACTTTTTTTCTTAGAAATTTCTTTCTGATATTAGGGTGTGTCTTCCAAGCTGCAGTATCTTGTAAGCCAGAAAATACGCAATATATATATATATATATATATATATACACACACACAGAGGTTGTGATGAGCAAATTGTCACCATTTTATATTTTGAGCATACAAGTTGTTTGTTTTTGATTTTGTTGACTGCACAGTATAGCAGGGTCAGTTGGGCACCATCTGCAAGAAAAAGAGCACCATTACACAATTGACTGCCAGAAATTTGGAAATGTCTGCAATACAAACATTTCAGAGTGTTTGACTGTCAATCTGAGGACAGTGCAGAGGATTTGGAAAGTGGTGGATGAGTCTAATGATGATTATGAAGGTTTTTGGAGTGATCTCTAATGATGGTGACTTTATGCCATGATTCATCTTCCCACATGGCCTCAAACTCAACATTCAGGCCTACATCAAGTGCTTTGATGAGGTCGTGCTGCTCTGGATCAAGAGGGTGGCTGCTGGAAGACCCTATCTCTGGCAACAGGACACTGCACCATACCTCAAAAGCAGAACCCAGTCATGGCTCTCAGACAAGTTCTGCAACCATATCATTGATTACATCTGACCACCAAACTCATCAGACTGCAACCTTCTTGATGTGTGGGGTGCAGTTGAGCAAGAGACCAACAAAACTCCTTGTAACACCAAAGATGAACTGAAGGCAAAGATTATGACAGCATTCACCTACTTAATTAAGGAGACCATTCTGAAGAGTTGCAGGAGATTCCGAAATCATCTGAAGGCCATGGTTGAAGCCAATGGCGATTTTATTGAATAAATTTACTCTTTAGTGTTTCAAGATATTTTTGTATAATTTTGGTAAATATATCTGTTAAAATGAGTTATCAGTGTTATTTTCATTTTTGTGTAATTTAGACGACAATTTATCTATCACGCTCTGTATGTATACACACACAAACATATATATATATATATATATATATATATATATCCTGTAAAAATCAATGACAAAGTGTAAAATTTTTTTGTATGATGTATTTAACCATTTAGGACTCTATCAGACGGAAGTGATATTTACATTGTTGTAACTACACATGCACATGAAGAAAAGGGGATGCTAAATTCTTAAACTTTTAAATTCTTAAAAATATATCTTTGGGTATATACAGGGTGTCTCAAAATAATGTATACACTCTTTGAATCGTTATAACATATTCAATTTATGTAACTTGACTTGGAAATAAGATTAATACAAGAGAAAGAATATACATTTAAAGAATTTGAGAGTAAAAAAAATCATCGAAAATTAACTTTAATAACTTTTTGGCAGAATGTTTATATAATGATGAGTTCACATGAAGTGCTCAAACTGGTTGCCGTTCTGTTCAATACATTTTTCATATTGGGAAGAAATAGACCTACAAACGTCTAGTTTTATTTTCCTCTGGTATTTGAGCACATTCTTCTTCAATTGCTACTCTCATTTCAGCAATTGTTTCGGGTTTCCTGCTGTAAACTTTGTCTTTTAGAAACCCCCCAAAAAAGAAATCCAAAGGCGTCAAATCTGGTGATCTAGGTGGGTATTCAACTGTCCCTCTTCTTCCAATCCATCTGTTTTGCATATTTTCATCCATATAAGTTCTCACATTACAGTAATGTATTATTAACTATTAATATTTAAAGAGTGTATACATTATTTTGAGACACCCTGTATTCTAGCCAATTTCACTTGATTTCTTTTTGTTTATTTTTTTATCCCTTTTGTTATTAAGAATCTCATATTGTGATAATCGCAGATCTGCCAACAAAGATGAAATGTTACAAAACTCTAGACACCTGTAGATAATCAAGCAATTAAAGTATTTTCTATGCACCTTTGTCTTAGTAATTTGTTTTCTTCTTTACTCAAAGTAGCATAAAAATTATAGTCCAACTAATTTTGGTACATAAAAATTTACATGTTTTTCCCATATTCAGTTATGCATTTCAACATGGAAGTCAAGAAAGCACTTAAAATAGTTGCATATGATGCCTCATCAAGGAGAGTATTAACACTCTTTCATGAGTTTGATCCTCACTGGGTGCTTCAACATGGAATTGTACACACATATACATTTACGCATACATGTGGAGAAGTAACACCAGCTGACGTACACATTATTATACATACTCACAAAAAAATAAAATTGGCACACACACATATTTACACACACACCATTAAAAAAAGCATGAGAGCACACAAATGCATATATACATATATATATATATATATTTACACATTCACATTTAAAAATAACATGAGCACAGGCTCATATATTTACACATACACATAAATTCAAACTAACACAAGCATATGCATACATATATTTACACACAAATATAATAAAGAACTAACACAAGCACATACACACATTCATACATATTTACTCAGACAAACACTCAAAAATATAAACACACATGAGAAAATACATTTACATACGTGAAGCATCCACATAAATGCATACACTTTTATATAAAGTGGGATATAGTTTTATTCACACCTACAGAGAGGAACACACTATGGTGCGCAAATGCACACAGATGTACACATACATATACATGCAAACATGAAGCCAGAAAGAGAAATCTCAGACATGACTCCCTTCCATGAACTTATCTACTCCATAGCCAATGGACGACACTATTTGTTGGCCAACAATACAACACTCTCATGATTTATTCGTCTTATTCGCTGCAGTAACTGATGGCTTTCCGCATCCACAGGCTCATCCTTTCAACCAACATTGCCCATTGCAGCTTGATTGGAATTTGGCAATTGGCTTTCTTCTCTCCCACTCCATGTCTTTTCATTATTCCCTTGATTTAGTCTAGCAATGGCACACCACTCGCAAAGAACAAAAAAAGCAGTAGTCATTAGACAATGGGAAAATTTCTGGACCAAGATGAATGACAACCCTAAACATTACCAAATCCTAAAAGCAATGGTTCACTGATTAGAGCAATGATGCTAAACCCATCTCCATGCACCAACCAATCCTAAGATCCAGTACTATCACATCCACACATCTTCTTGTCAAATATATTGAGAGAATGCTTAATGTTTGATCGATTGGCCAAAAAGTGCATTCTGTTTTACCTTTAGATGGCATGAGAAGCATTTAGCTTTGAGTATCTGCAGATCTTGAATAAAAAGGGGGGATGGAATAAGCATGAAGTGATTAGAAAATGGATCTGTTTTGCAAAAGGAAAAATTATTACAGATTTTTATACAGAAATATATTATTTTGTAAAAGAAAAAGGAAAAGTTAATTGGATATTTTATATGGAAATACATACATTTATTTTGCTAAAAGAATTTGTTATACAAAAAACCTATTAATAGATCTATTCCTTTTTCTTTTCCTCCTTCATAACAAAAATAATTCATTTTTAGAGTTATAGCTGTTTAAAAATCATTTAACACTAGATACCTGCTGATTAGAGATTAATTGAAGTACAAGTAAAGCTAACTTTAATTTTTTATGTTGGTGGAGTTAGGGAACAATTTCTCTTATTTGTTTATTTATCAACATTTATGTTTCATGGTAATTTATGTAGATAAATACTCCTCAAGTGTGGCTCTTTGGCCTTGTATTGTATGACCAACAGTAAAAGAAATTTGGATCTTGTATAAAAGATGGAACTGGAATAACTAGTAAGGACATTGAGATTCTTCCCCCCCACCCAAAAAAAAGGCGGGGAATTGGAAAAATCTGTGGAGGAGTGAGATTTATCTTTATTGAATTTTAATTTAATTGAATAAAGGAATGCTATGTAAACATGCAGTAGTTATTTAGCAGTTATTTAATAAGAGTTAAAACAAATTTCTATATCTCCCTCCCCTACCTAACATGTAAACAAATAGTTGATCACACCGTACTTATGAAGTGCAAGCATGGAACAACCAGATGACAGGAAGTTATATAAGCAGACTATTTTATTGATAAAAGACAGTGAGTATCTCACATCCTCACAAGGAGATAAATATTTGGAGAAAGCTCTCAAAACCACATACCCTAGCACCAATATTAATAGGCAAACTTTAGAAATCAATTAACAGAAATTTAATTTCATGTTCTTATTAGTTTTACAATGATAACATTACATTTTTAGGAGATCCACGTTTGAAGAAAGGCCTTAAAACACACACCTTAACACCAATACTAATGAAGTCAGAACATGAATAAACAATCATTTTAAATACAAGAGATTTAATCTCATGTTCTTATTAGTTTGTATGATGATATCATTACACATAATATGGAAAACAATTACATTTATTTTATTACTAGCAGCATGGCCCGGCATTGCCCGTGCTTGATTCAAAAATCGTATGACTCATACAGCAATCGCTATCACTTGACTTAAAATATTTTTGCCCTTCCTTGCCTTTAAAGGAGTGTCCTTTGCCGTGCTGATGTTGCTACATACCTTCCTTCTTGCCTATCTCACACTGCAAATTTTTTCTAAGCTCTATACTAAACATTAAATCTGTTATGAAAAAAGAACTAAACAAAATGAACACAAAATGATCAGCTTTAAAAAAGGACCCGTAACTGGAAAAACCGAATGAAAAAAGAATGTTAACAAAAAATACTTTTTCACACCTAACCCACTTGTGCAGAATCAGAATCAACGTTGAGTTTAAGCAAGTGAATGAGCCAATTGGAGTAAATTTTTCCCACTTGTGACGAATGCAGCTATCGATTTCTTTTGCATGCTAGTTAACATTGGTGTCAGTCAGCTGTTGGCTCTCATACTGACCAATAGAATCTTCCTGCCTATTCGTGGCAGCCAGCTATAGGCTCTCACTCTGGCCAGTAGAAAATGGCCACAAACTACATGAAAACTGCCTTAGAAGCATGAAAAATCGATTATTTCCACTATTGATGGGAGTTGGGAAATGCAAAGTTGATCTTGGTCTTCCCGCTAACTTGGAGCATGTGCATGTAAATTTTGGTTCAAATCCATTGAAAATTGCGGCCGTGCATTCGTTACACACACAGACAGACACACATCCTGCCTTTTATAGATAGAGATTAATAGAAAATGCCAGAATAGACTTTGCACTCAGTGTCAAATTAGATCATTAGGGAATCCAGGTGCATCAACAGGTTGACATGAAAGGATAACCTTATCATGAGGTGCAGATTTTGGCTTCCCAGTATATTAGTGGTTGCCCAAAATATCTTAACAGTTGGTTGACTCACCTGCACTTAGGACATACACACATGGGACAACTGATGAATGGAAGATATATAATCATTCACCTGAGAGGGAAGAGGGAGTGAAAATCTCTTACAAACTCACGAAAGAAGAATCTACATTTGGAGTAAACCCCAAAGCCACAGATCACTTACTCAATATTAATTAACAAAATCTAGAGGTGATTAAACAGGAATTTTACATGAGAGATGTAATCTTTACATGATAGGATTACACTTGAGAGCTAAGTTGTAAAAGTTTTTGTTTGATTCAGAAAGGAACATGCTGTTAAGGGCTACTCTGGGTGCAAATCAAAGGGCAGGAGCAAATAGTTGGATATTTTTGCTTGAAATAAATGGTGTATCATTGAGGATGAGTAAGATATAAATAAATAAAAGTATTCCCTGAGTTGGGTACTATTGTCTTAAAATAATCATATTGTATTTTAGTATTTTAGCAGCAGTCTGTTGGGACAATATGAGAAAAGATTATTCGAAATGCCACAATAAAAGTAAACTGATTCTAGCTAAAATGCAATCCTTAGAGGTCTACCTTTCAGAAAAAAAAAATACTTTACTATATAACAATATTATTTACTAATAACAATACAGGGTGAGGCAAAAGTTGTGCACCAAAGGAGTTAATCAATAGGTCAAAGAGGGTCCTGTTGAGTGGCCACTGATATCACCAGACTTCACATCCTTGGATTTTTTTCTGTGGGGGCCATTTGAAATCAGTTGTTTGTCAGATGCACCCAAAAAATATTGAGGAACTTAAAGAAAGAATTAAATATGGATGCAGTGAAATGACAGAGGAAACTCTCTGACATGTTAATGAATTATGCAGGCACAGAATTGAAATGTGTTTTGAAAAGAAGGAAGACATTTTAAACAGCACATATAACAACTGCATAACTAGTAAATAAAATTTTCATGCATAATTATGATTTTAATAAATTATCCATATGGTGTCTGACTTTTTCCTCACCAAGTATTACCAACTATAAACACACATAAAAAACATTATATTACATATCACCAACCTTTACTGAATGCATTCTTAAATAATTTAACATATTTTTACCTTAAACAAACGGTATGTACATAAAAATGTTTGAAAATCAACATGTGAAAAACCAATGTCTACTAGACATACACACACCAACCCACACTTACAAATATACATTATCATCTGAATCCCACATAGACAAACCAGAATTATTATACACTTATATAAAAAAAAAGATATATTTATGGTTTTTCAGGTAGGCTTGGAATCTGTTAATTTCTTGAAACTTTGGGTGTACATGTTGTCTCATGTTGAATTTGGAATACCACAAATTATACTAATGTTGGTTTAACAAGTCGAATGCATGTGAAACATGATTAACCAATGAGAATCAAACAACACAAAAGTAAAAATAACAGAATTTCATTCTTCTTTTTCTCCATATCTCATTCTCTGATGAAGCTTTAATAAAAGTGAAACATGTTAGATTGATAAACATTTCCTGTTTGTTCTTTACTTTATCATTCTTTTAGATCTTGATTCATATTTTATCTATATTTAATCCCAATTCATACTTTACTATGCTTTACTTGTAGAATTACAAGCTACAAACATAGGGATTTAAAAGATAAGAAAAATATTTGAGATTTGGGAGTGAAAACTTTCAAAGCAAGCACCCGCAACTATTACAATAAAGCCCCGCCAACTCCTACACCAATGTGAACTGACAAATTTCAAATATCACCACAAGGCAACTGATGGTCTCAAAAGAGAACTTTGCACACTATGGTAGGGGTGTCCAAAGCCAAATACTTTCAAGAGAAAATAGGCTCCATTGCCCTAAGTAGATTATTTTTTGTTGATATCAAGTAACTGGGTACTTTACAGTCAGACCTTATATTCAAATAGGTTAACTGAGTTTAAAGTTTACTTGCGACTGTTTACATCTGTTTTGTACTAATCCTTTTGATAAAGGCATCAATTCATTTTTCCTTGTGCCATGTTCCAATATTTGATTACTGACATGCCAGAAGGATAAAGTACAGAAGTGAGCATTTAATCAATGCACGAGTGACCTGTAGCTGAAGGGATGTCAGCTGTCTCCACAGTTTCAGTAATGAAATGTCTGATCCATGCGACACCCACTCCTTTGTTTGCATTCTAATAATTCACACTACTTTGTCATTAGCAATCAAGCCAGTATTCATACCAATTCACCAGATATCAGAGCACTGTTATAGGTCTGCATATTTCTAAAATCTCACCTACCATTACTTTTACATTCTGCTATCCCAATTCAGTGTAACAGACCATCTATTTCAACACTGAAATTGAATATAGGTTGGTCAAAACCTTCTTACAAGGAAGTAATGAAAGAAAAAACAATCAAGCAAAACAAAGCAATATAATGAAAAGTCATTTTTTATATCTTTCAACAGAAAGACAGGATTGTTAATGTCAAATATTAGTCTTATATGACAAAATCACAATGAATTAATGGACATGTAAACAAAGCAGACAAAGGTCTGGTTTGACATGAGAGTCCAAAGCATATACAATAGTCAGGTTTGACATGAGTCTCAAGAAGACATTCAAAGGTCAGGTTTGATATC